AGATCTTCTATAAGTCTGTTGTGGAAAGTGCAATCAGCTTTGCAGCCATCTGCTGGGGCAGTAGTATCAGAACCAGAGACGTAAAGAAGCTAAACAAGCTGATCAAGAAAGCTGGTTCTGTGCTGGGGATAACTCTGGAACCACTGGAGCTGATTGTTCAAAAAAGAATGCTGCACAAGATGATGAAGATGATGGAGGATTCTTCTCACCCTCTCCACAACACAGTGAAGAATCAACAGAGTGTGTTTAGTGGGAGGCTGCGTCAGCTTCGCTGTCGAACGGAGAGATACAGGAATTCCTTCCTGTCAACAGCCATCACCTTAAAAAACAAATCCGACTGACTGAATGATTGTTATTGTTGTATATAATATATGTTATATTGGTTTAAAAATTAAAAATTAAAAAAAAGGGAGCTTTTACAAGATTGAATTTCCCTTCTGGGATAAATAAAGTATTTTTCATTTCATTTCATTCATTTTCATTTCATTTCGTTTCATTTCATTTCATTTTCAATGTTTAAGCCTACTCAGAACTTTCATGTTGCCATACGTAGAAGGTCTTTCAGGGTCCATTGGACCCCAGGAAAGAATATGTGCAAAATATTTGTTGATATTCATTGTAGACTTTTATGCTATGTTAAACAAATTTTCTGATAAGTTGACGGATTTTTGGTTCCAAATGCATGACAAATGTTCCCTCTTTTTATATTACAAAAAAAAAATAAAAAATCTTCAAAAATAAAAAACACGATACCTGTCACCTAAACCAAATGGCCTGAAATGGGTTAAAAGGTACTTCCTGTAATTCATTCAATGGCTTCCTTTACATCATTTTAAGGAACATAAGCAGGAGTTTGTGTAGTGGTTGATTAAACACACACTCAAAGGCTCCTGGAGGCAACCTAAAGCAAACAACAGCAAAAAAAAAAAAAACACTTCAGCATTTACAGTTTCACTCACAAAGTCATGACAGAGAAGATCTCCTCTGATAACCCTGCAGCAGCAGCACCTTACATACTTTACATTTACTGAACTCAACACATATGGAGACGCAACTGTTGGAGAAATATCATTTTCACCATCATATTGGTATATCAGTTTTATTCCCTGATTGTGATTTAGTGTCCGCTCTGGTTACATGCGCTGTGAGTATCTGTGTTATTGCTCTGTGGAAACACAGCCTGCAGTTCATCTGAAAACTGTTTTTTTGTTGTTGTTGTTGTTTTTGTCACAGCAGCACTGTTGACAGAATCTTGTGTAAATGCTTTATTGTGGTGAATGTTTAAATAAGACAGATAGAATGAAGTGTTTTCATTGAAATATCACAATTTTAATGTTTTAAATGAATGCAATATTGCATTTTGGGAATCAGAAGGTTAATTATGCTGCAAAGTGCTCAGCAAAAAATAACCAATGAAACCCGACAAGGTCAGTAAAATGAGAATGAGGCCCTGGAACATGAGCACAGAGGAGGGAAAAACTGTACAATGAATAAAGTCAGAGAAATAAGATAGTGAGATAGTAAGACATGAGTGACCCCTGAGTTGGATCATTTTGTCTGCTTCCATCATTACTCTAGGAAGTCACACTTGACAGCAACAAGATTTTTTTTTAACAACACAGTGACTGACATAATAATGTTACTGAGGACTGTTTCAGTGGAAGTCAGAACTAAAGCCCACTGGCTTTCCAGACAGCAGCTTCAGCAGCACACTGTCTTCATTGGACTGGAGAGAGCTGCTGTTTGAAGACTGTCCAACCCGGATGAAATCCATCATTCTGTCACACGGTGAAATAGCTGCACAATAAGTCCATTTGTCGTTCTGGCAGTGAGCACATGCCAGTATCATGTCAGGATCCGCTGTAACATTGTATATGTTGTTCTCTTCTTGACCCACGTAACCGTCCAACAAGAGGAAACGTCCATCATTGTAATAGAGCAATTAATCAACATGTTTGTTCTTGAATTTCTTTTCTCAGAGGTGTCCCGAAATGACTCCTGTCCAGACCTACCAGAGATCCAGAACGGCTGGAAGACGACATCCCATGTTGCACTGGTGCGCGGAGCTCGGATCACCTACCAGTGTGACCCTGGGTACGACCTGGTGGGACGAGAGACCCTCACCTGTCAGCTAGAGCTGTCCTGGAGCTCACAGCCACCGTTCTGCGAAAAGAGTCAGTTCTGCTCTGATTTATGACATCTACCGCCCATCTGTTTGTGTGTGAATGTATCAACTTTGCATATTATCTACCTTGGGAGTCCTTAACATTTCTAGGAGTTTTTATAATCCCCACAGGATAGATTATAACAACGTTGGTGATGCTTCAAGGTTTGTGCATCCCTGTGCACTGAGCAACACCAACTACAAATATAGACAGTGGACAGTGGACACACTCGTAGTTCCACTCATAACACAATATACATATTTTTAAAAACCTCATATTATCAAAATACAAACATCAATTTCTATACATACAAGACAAGACAATATTGACCAAGTTATTCACCAAAAAATTGACAAAACTGCCATGTTACATTAAATATCAGTGTATCACAAATGCAAAAAGTTAAATATGTAATAGAAGACAAACTACAACAAAAAATGTACATTTAGAAATGAAAAAACTAAATATTTTTATCTGCAATACTGACTAATTGGACTTTCTCGATAAACACTTGAAATCTTTACATTAGCAGAAAACAATGTTCAAATATATGTTTTAAGTGTTTTCCCAAACATTTCCCATTTGTTAACAGTCTTTCTCTTGCAAAGAGCAAAGTTCCCTGCTAAGACCAGTTTTCGCCTTACCATAGCAACAGCATGTCTCCAGTGTCATTTCTGTTGGCTAGTTGAGGAAAGATTCCAGTTTAGAATATCTCTTAGTTGAGCAATGATGAGGGAGGAGACAGAGCAGGAATAGAACAAATGCTCTTAGTCCTCCTCCTGCCCACTGCACGATTACATAAAACATGTGAACACCAGAGTATTTTTTTGTTATTATCATTAAAACTATGATAAAGCTGAATGAGTGAACACAATGTGTGTATACAACATGTACAAAGGTGTAATTTGAAAGTTAAAGTTTTATGCTGATGTTATGAGCAACATGCTCAGTCTTGATAATCATGACTTCATGAAAATACTGTTTTCCAAACTGGTCATCATGAACATGTGAAGCTTTAGCTGGTATAATAAAGTCCATCTGGGAATACAATGCAATATATTGAAGAGTCGACACCCACAATCCGAGGACAGAAGCAGACTGACAGAAATAACTAACAGAACAAGAACTGAACACCATCAGAGGAGAATCTGAAAGACTCTCAAACAATCACTGAATGCTGCAAACTGGTTCGATTCAAGTGGTTTGTTCAAACTCTTATATAAAACATGTGAATGTTATTTCTCTCATAATATTGTTGCTAAAAGTTGACTGTAGAAGAAAAATCATGCTTAACAAAAAACAGATTTCTACTTTAGATTATGAAACCTGGAGTGGGTGTAAAATAATACAATTCAAACAGGTTTTTCAGCCCTAAAAATTCCATGTGTCCGTCTGTTGTACTTACAAGGTTATGGGGGCTCAGAAATTATGAAAAGGTAACACACATTAAAAAGTCCTACATTTCATCCCACCCGTATGTACTTCAGGGGTCTGTAACTCTGAAAATATTCACAATATGAAGGTACAATTTTAAATGACATCATTAAATATATTAGTTATATATACTGAAGATGAAGAAAGAGACTGTAACAGGTCAGATTAATGAGACTCATCAATAATACATCTAATCCACGTTTTTGCAAATTAGGAGCTGAAATTTAGTTTGTTGCTTCCAGCTGTTTGCAGGAGTTTTTCCTCTAAATGCAGCTTGGCGCTAGTTCAGACGGGCACGGAGTCAGGCTAGTCATGGGTCCTATTCTGCCCAATCATGCACCTACTCCTCCTTATTGGTGCGCCTTATTGCTCAGGCAGCATTCATTGATTCTTGCGCTCTTTGCTTACCACATCACTGCCACATCGCCGCCGCATCAGTTTATTGTACTGCAACGTTCTCCTCCTCTCCCCCAGCCTCCTCCTTGTAATATAAAGATTTATGCATACGTACGTTGCTTTTTAATCATACTGTTCCCATCAGTATTTACAATCATTTGACTCTGCCAGGGGATTTAGTGATCTCAGGCACTGTCTGTGTCATGCTTGCTCAGATCATTCAAGAGCATCACTTGAGTCACTGCCAAACTCAAATGTATGTTATTCTGAAATAAATGGTTTAATCTGACGAAGAGTCCTGTCTGATGATTATTAAATACCTGCATCACCAGACAGCAGCAGGTTCCATATGAACATCTTCAAAAGAGAGAGCCGCACATATTTATGCACAACAGCAGTAACTTCATTAAATTCTTAGAATTCTAAATGACCCTTAACATGGAGACAGGATGTATCAGGATCTAACAGCAGCTCACTCTGTGAACTTTTCTTCTATCAGACAGGTGAGCTTTCAGTCAGAGTCACAGTTTTTCAGCTGCAGATTGATCCTTAGTTACATAAAAATATCAGCTGATTCTGAGGAGGCCAGGCGTAAGACACTCATTGAGGTTTTATGGAATGAGCCTATTGAAATCTGCCAGTCTACCTCTGTTTTTGCTGTTTTATGATGGTGTATAATTCTCAACTATATCTCATAAATCACTGTACATTCTTTGTTTTCTTTATCATCCTTCTCCCAGTCATGTACTGCTCAGATCCCGGCCATGTCGAACACGCCACCAGGTCTCTGTCTGACCCCAAACTCCTGGTGGGTACCACCATCCAGTACAGCTGCAACCCTGGTTTCATCCTGCAGGGCGGCGCCACCATCACCTGCTATGGCCGAGAGCCAGGGACGCCTGTGTGGACGTCTCGACTCCCTCATTGCGTCTGTGAGTATCTTACAGTTTCCTGTGCAAAAAGAAACACGACAGGTTAGTTGCTGGTAGTTATTTTTATCAAACTTGTGGGCTGAAAGGTTGCTGAGGTTTACTAGTAATATGCCAGCACAGTGATTTCAGAAGCCTGTCATCAGGATAGACAGTTGCACATGGCAGTTAACTGAAGATGAGAGGCTCTTTTCCCTGTTGCTGTGCGATCTAACATGAGTGGGTTTGTGTGATTTCTTGCAAAGAAAAAAAAGAGCCCTGGTTCTCTGTTTCCTCTGCTGACACAGATCACAGCGTCTCTGCATGCCAGAGACGATGCTTCATCTCCTGCATTTCATCTCAGGACTGATGATATGTGTGTGTGAGTGTGTTTTCAGGGTTATTAATGTTTGTATGAAGTGTTTGATATGTAAATGCAATGCTAATGCACCGTACCAATCAGCCCTCAGCCACCTGGAGGAGGGGGTGGAGATTATCCATGAGTCATGTCACCTCAGCCGGAGCTTGTCAAATCTGTCAGTCGAGCTCTGATGCAAAAACCTCTGATCAGTGTTGAGAAACTCGGCGGGATCCATCCAGCTTCTGTCTTTTTTCCCCCTTTTTCTTCTGTGTAGCTGAGGATTCCGTTTCTTGTGAGAACCCTGGTCTCCCTGACAATGGCTACCAGATCCTATCTAAGAGGCTTTACCTGCCCGGCGAGTCGCTCACCTTTGTGTGTTACCAAGGCTACGAACTCAAAGGAGAGGTGGCAATTAAATGCATCCTTGGAAACCCATCCTTTTGGAGCGGCCCACTTCCACTGTGCAGGGGTGAGATTTGCAGGATTTAGTGTTTTTAATTTTAATGTGCAGCACTGTGCAAAAGTTTCAGGCTCTTTAGATGTTTACATTCTTCCTCACCACACAATACCATCATCAGCAGGATGAGTCCAAACATCCAGCCAGAGTCTAAAGCCCCTTTCAGACATGCTCTCCTTGCCATTATTTTTTATGACATCTGACTGCGTCAGTTTCATGCCTGAATGAGCTCCCTGTTCACTTTTCTGTAAAAGTCACGATGGAAATCCAAGATTAGAAGTTTGGACCTTGTAGCATCTCACTTTCGCTGTCACACTGACAGATAAGCACAGGTTCCATATGAACATCTTCAAAGAGAGAGAGAGCTGCACATGTTTATGCACAGTAACTTCATTTTTTTTTAGAATTCTAAATGATCCCTGACATGGAGACAGCATTGATCAGGATCTAACAGCAGGTCACTTTGAACCTTTCTTCCATCAGACAGGTGAGCTGTCAGTCAGAGTCACAGTTTATCAGCTGCAGGTAAATATTTAGTTACATATTAGTCATCCTCAGGTTGAATCCTAACTTCCGTAACAGCTATGGAGATATTCATATTTTACTGTTGGTAAAGTTACTGTTGTCCATCACATATGGACAGAATTTTCACTGTTTGGAAAATCCTAAATAAACGAGACTGTTAGTTATTTGAACAGTTTCATAAGATGTCTTTTGTTTATTAGTGCAATATTATATCTTATACATCACTGGATTTTCTGTCCAATCTCTCCGTGAACGAAGAATATAGTACTCTCAGTGTGGTGGGAATGTCTGAATGAAGTCATGAGGAACATTTAAAGTGGCTGAATGTCTGAATGACAGAATGCCATCACTCACAAAAGATTGATGAAGGCATTAATGCTACATATTCCATGTCTAAAAAGGGCTTGATAGAGCTGGCTTCAGTCCTGCAGCTGATTGTCTGAACCCCACAGAGTCCTGATCTCAACATTATGGAGTCAGCCTGGGATTACCTGAGGAGAACATCTGTTAGAAGTTCTCCACCATCCCACCAACCCACTAAGACCTGGTGATGCTGTTTTATATACAAAGGCTGCAAATTCTAGCCACTTTACTGTATTTTGTATTTGCATTATTTTTGATTTGTACATTTAGCTGTACCTAAAACCTTTGCACAGAGCTGTAAATGTTGTGTGAAATGTTTCCTTGGTCTCTTACCTTTCCCTTTGAATTTTATGCATGCACGCAGTATTCTTTAAAGACCTCTTTGCCCATGCTTGTTTCTACAGATTGGTCATGTCCCTATGCATGCAGGTGACAGTTTGCTAAACCCAAACCCCTCTTTATCAAACAGCGGCAGTCCAGTCACAGCTCAGCACAGAAGGACTAGTTACAGTATTAAAGAGTTCAGAGGATGGTGCCTATATATAAAGGCTATTCCAAGATCTAAAACATGAAAACACAGCAACAGAGCAGAGCATTATGTTTGTCTTGTCTAATAAGCTGCAGACGTTAGCATGTCCACCTTCAGTAGGCACCTAGTCCTAATTCCAAGACCAATTTAAATTCATTTGTTGGGTGACAGCTTAAAAATTAGTAACATGGTCTACTTTGAACACTATGGATGGAAAACTGGATATAAGAATACAAAATGACACCTCATTCATTCAAGTAAAACTTTCTGTGGTGCACATGTGGAAAAATGTTTGCAAGGTTCCTCCACAAGGTACGATGAAGGATTCTCATCTGAGTTCACAGAGAGAATGTATGAGTGAGATCCCTGCTGGCCGACCTGCTGGCTGCCAGCACACAAGAATGACTTCATATAATATAATCTTATAGTGTTCAGTTCTGCTATACCAACATCAGAAAATGTATTTGTTGTTTCAGTGGTGCTTGTTTCCTCAAAGATTGTCTCTGCACTGTGTCATATTTCCACTTTGAGTGGACATTAGCAGCTATGATTTGCTCTTTATTTGATTTCGGGAAAGTTTATACACCAGCTACTCCGGCAACCAAATAGCATTTCTTTTTCTGAATACATCAGTTAGTCTGTATCCTGAAAGTAAAGGCTTTTATTTATGGCACTAAAAGTGAAAAAAAGAAAAGAAAAGAAAAGAAATAGAAGCAAGTGCACAAGCTAAGCAGCCTGATCTTTGTAAAGTTTTCCAGTTCTTTGTTTAGTTTGCACCATCAAAAAACATAAATAATGACATAAAAATTCAAATTACATTAAATTTACATTGTTCACTATTTAATTTCATTGCATACACATGTACACACAAATATACACACACGAACAGTCAGAATTAAACTGAGAGACACTATGTATTCGTAATAACATAGCAATAACCTTTTTTCCTTAGATTTATTTTGATGGCGCAAACCCAAGCCAACATTAGAACAACATAAAAGTATGGAACTATTAACTACTTTAAAACTAGGATTAACATTGAGCTATAAGATTGATTAAAAATAATCATTTTGGTCATGTAATTGTTTTCATAAAAAGGAAAAATATTACATCTCTTTTCTTGTATATCATTATGGTCATTAAAAATGTGGTGTTATCTCTGTGCCAATATTACAGAATGACACTTGTTTCTCTAGTTCTAAATACATTTATTTAAAACTGATCTTGTGAAATGACAACATAAGGTGAATATGCGAGAACCGAGAGCCTGACGGGAGTATTAACAATAAGTACTGTGGGGATTAACAAGCCTTGTTACGGATACAAACTCGTAGGAAAGTGTGATGTCGATTTACATATGCACTGACTGACAGAATGATGTCTTGCAGCCTTCCATGACTGCTTTGGCAACCATGCTTTGGAAGGTGAGTCTGTCTGTGTACGTTGGTGTGCTCTGACGCTGTGGGCTAAAAAAGACCACACAGTTTGTTTTCTAGACTCACTAAAATAAAAATAAAAAAACACACAAAAATCAAACAAACCATCACACAAAAGAAGAAAACAACACTTCACCTCTGTGTGTGTGTGTGTGTCTGCCTGTTCTGCCTACATCTGCAAACATCTGCCGCCAAGTACATCCCCACTGTGTGTGTTTGTCCCTCCAGCTCTGTCCATCTGATTACCTGTAGCATCCGCCTACTTGTGCTGAGCCACCTTTAATCAGCCTGTAACACCTATTATTTGTCCTCTGGATCAGACACTGCCTTTGATTAATCTTGATTTATTCATGTGTCGTCTGTCAGTTGCAGAGGCGACTGCAGGCTCCCCTCTGGATGGAGGGAACATTGCGCTGGCCATCTTCATCCTGGTTCTGCTGCTGTCAGTGCTGCTGGGAGGAGCGTATGTCTACGTCACACGGTAACATTGTAGACTGCACCTTTATATGCTGGGGCATTTCATATATCTGGAAAAAATCCCACCTGACCCCCTCAGAATGAACTACTTTTTATGCACAATAACTTTAGTATATGTATTGAAGCCATGCAACATTTTATCTTCATACTAAAAATATTTTCACACTTAAAAGCCCTTGAAGTACATAGGAGTGGGCTGAAATTTAGCACTTTTATATTTGCTTAATCTTTTTTAGTATTTCTAAGCCTCATAAATTCAAAAGTACAGGATTTCCTTCAAGGAGATGTAACTCTGAAAACATTCACTGTATGAAGGCAAAATTTTGCATGGCTTTAATAAATAAAGTGAAATTATTGTGCATAAAAAATCTGCTGATTCTGAGAAGGTCAGTTAGGAGCTTTGTTCAAATTTGATTGATTTTATATAGACTCACCCACCTGTGCATGTGCACCAGTAACTTCTTACTCAGCATTAATGTATATAACTGTTCCCATTTTGTTGTATTGGCAGCTTCTTGTTGGCAGCACAGAGCCTGTATGGTTCCATATTTATGATATGAAGCATTAAATACACTGCAATTATTCATTTAAGACCAGCCAGACACTTTAATGTATTCATTTTTTTAATTCTAATGAAGTAGTTTTGAATAACATGGTGTGATTCATTATGCATGTGCATTTTTTAACCTCTAAGCCTTCACTTCAAAAGATGAGAAATGATGAAGAAATATGTCTAAATATCTGTAGCTCGTCTAAAAGTTGTGAGTTGATTGAAAAAGTGACGTTTACTTTTTAGATTTTTGCATTTTTTTAAAAGTTCAGAAGGGGTGAAATTATGTAATATTAGAATGGAAAGAAGCATTAGAGAAAATTTTGATTAAATAGACTTGCTTTTGTGTAGTAGCTGTTTCCTACAAGGTTCATGTAGATAAGGTTGAGCTCACAGTGAGGTCATCTTCTTTTGCTGAAAACAGAAATATTTCATTAAACCATTATCAGTTATACTAAAAAAGAAGTACACTGGTAAAAGCTTCAAATTTCCTCAAGTTTTAAAGCAAAAGCTCTTCTTTATATCAAGTTTTGTAACCTTGCGTCTGCCAGACAGCTGACTTGTCATACAATGTTTTATTAAGCCTTTGTCAGCCACATCTCACCAAGTTATAATAGAAGTTTAGTGATATAAAGGGATAAAAGTCAGTAAAAATGTTTTGAGCAAAACAAAGAAGTGATGGATAAAAGGTGTGATTTGTATAGAAACCCTCTACATTGCTGACTGCCTGATGAGAGACTTTGGGGAAGACATTTCTGTTCATTTCATGTGAGAACTGTAATTCCACCTCTACTTTCCTCCACTGACAATAATGACAGATTTTAGATCCACCTTCTGGACATGAACTGTCAAGGAGCTGCATAACTGTATGTAACCATGGCAACGTTCATGCACAGTAACAATGACAGTTTAAACAGTGTTATCTCTGCAGTGTTATCTCTATTCGGATAAAAGCTTCAGTCTGTCGTCATAATTTCTTCAAGCTCTGGATAGGCATGACACAACAAGCAGTTTTTAACAAGATGCTTCTTTCTTATTGCAACAAAAAGCAGAAAAAGTATGTTTTATTGTGGCTGCCACGGTTTACTGATGAAACTTTATCTTATATTATACATGACAGAGAAAACTGGATCAGTGTAAGCAAACTCTCAGATTTGTGAAAAATGAGAATTGCTGAACCAACTTAAATGAATTGCTTCAATCTGTAGAAAACAACTGAAATAATTGTTTTCAAATTAAGTTAACGAGTAACATTATTGTCACTGGTTGAAGTTAGATGCACCTAAATTATTTTATTCCTCTCAAATGAACAATTTTCATTGATAAGACTGTCAGTTTTTCCCCAACTAAAGCATTTGCTTTACTCAAACGTAAAATGTAAAAGATGATGTTGTCATTAGGCATGCTTTTCTTTTCTTTACTCTATAATCCTACTCAAAGAAAGTGGTGATTGAGATGTGGCAGAAAATTTGAAAAAATTAGACTATCACATGACATCAGCTGCACAATAATAAAGGAGCAGTACACCTAATTTGGCTGACTCTATAGCAGTATTTATTTATTTATTTATTTACTTACTTACTTACTTACTTACTTACTTACTTACTTACTTACTTAC